AAAGAATACGGTGTCCGATCGTTTCCGTAAAGTGGATGTGGATGAGTACGACGAGAACAAGTTTGTGGACGAGGAAGAGGGAGGAGAAAACCAGCTGGGTCCAGATGAGGCAGAGGTGGATTCTCTCATCAGACAATATCCTTCTTTATTCACCAGCTAACATGTGCATGATCTGAAATAGTCTTGCATTTTCAGTGGCACTATCTCATATAAAAAATGTCCGTGTGCTTTATGCTTGAGTGTGTAATGATGACACCAGCAATTAATATAATACGGCTAATTAAATATTTTCCTGGAAAAAAGTATGCATAAATAATTAAAGCAAAAAGTGCTTATTAACAAGTAGAAGGAAAGACGATCATTTAATTTTGTTCGCAGCCAGTATTACGTCAACATTATATTCACTGATTTGCTGTTCATAATTCATGAGTTGCCTGATCCACCAGCTGGCCTGCAGATTTCTGTACATCTAAGACTCCACACAGACAGAACTGGGTTCTTTGCTCTGTTCTATTCATTTACATTGATTTGACTGGACAGGCACCCATCCAGTGTCCTGCAATATTGACAGCGTTGTCTATAAAAGTGAAGCGAAAATAGTCACAAACATGCTGATTACTTAGAATTATGCTGATGGTGATTGTTAACTACAACATACTAGTTTCAAACGGTGTGGGGGTTGTAAATATTAGGTTCTTCTGACATTTGAAACTGTTGCATTATTTAGTACAAGGAAGTTGAATTCATGTCCTTATATGTCAATTTTGGAGTACCCAGGGCCTTATTTCCTGTTTCTAATTTTTTTCCCCCTGTGGTTGCCTTGTAATATGTTTTCTTCAAGTGCAACATGTCCACAGCATTTGGATATTGTAAAGGAGCATGTATTCATGCATGCATAGGTATTTAAATTGTGTTGGTGTTTTTCTTAACTCCACTCTTCAAAGGGAACCTTATGGGTGCATTGCAGGCAGTGTTAAAAAACCCACCAATCAGCACGAAGAATCAGAACGTCAAGGTGAGTCATGCCACTTTTTTTCCTAAGAGGAAGGAAAAATTATTTTACTCTGATATCATAGCAAATCATAACATTTTGGTGTCTTCAGCATGATTTTAAATATAAAATTGTACAGAGAATGTTGCACATTCATGGTTGTCCTTTAATAAAAAAATATTTATTTTCGACATTTTGCTTATTCCAAAGTGTCATTAATATAAAACAACACCTTTAAACATGCTAACTTCTCTATTAAAGTGTATGTTTTATGCCTTGAAATAAGTTTCAAAATCATTCTTATGATTCACTGACTTTAAAGGGGTCATATGATGCTTTTTTTAAAGATCATTAT